TTTGGGATTTTCTGTGTCTGACCCTCTCTTGTCTGCAAATAATCAGAGTTTCACTTCTTTGCCAATCTGGATTCTTTTGATTTCTTTTTGATTGTAATAGCTCTGGCTAAGATGTCCAGCACAGCGCTGGGAACAAGCAGTGATAGGGGCATCCTGGGCTGGTTCCCATTTGCCAGGGGAATTCTTTCCATTTCTCTCCATTGAGTCATATGGTGACCACTGGTTGTGCAGATATGGAATTTATCGTGTTGAGAAATTTCCTATTTTGCCGAGTGTTTTTTCAGGAATGGACGTTGGACATTGTTAAATGCCTCGTGCCTAGATTTCTACAATGGTGTTCTTACCTTCTTTTTCTCCTTCTATAATGCAATATGTTATCTCTTTTTACATAAATAATGTGTGTTGTATGGTTTTCTACAAACTGTACCACACCCTCTCGTGATTTTCCTGTGTGTGCCATGTGCATTGTATGTCTGTGTGTTGTTTATGTGGGTGTGTTACATGGGGAAACGCTGGTAGTCCTGTGATGCCACATCCCGACAGGCTGCGCTCATGGTAAAGAAGCTGCAGGATAGAGCAGAAGAGACAACTCCATGGCCGTGGGCAAAGCCAGTCAACTTTTGGGCGCAACAGTCCTATCTGTAAAATAGAGATTGCTCTCAAGCCCTGGTGAGCCTGCTTTGTGAGTCATAAAGCACCAGACATGCCATGGCTTATGTTGTCATTGTCAGCCCATCTTGCCACTTGGGAGATGCGACACATTTGTTCATCAGCAGCATCGTGCTGATTTCCCCGGCTCTTGAGCTCTCGAGATAAGGACTCGGTGGCGCATTTCTGAGACCGTAGACCTTTATGGGAGCAGATTGCTTCATCTTTCTCCCATAATGTGGCTAGTGGGCTGGAACCGCTGACCTCATAGTCAGCAGCCCAATAAATGCCTCAGCCACCAGGCTTCATTGACTCTGTCCTAGCCACGCTTATTTCCATCAGTAACTGGACCAGCAAACTCTATTCCACGTAGGCTGAGCTCCTCCTGGCACTTAGAAGACAACACTCTCATTTCTGCCTCGTGTTTCCTCCTGGTATTTCCCCCTAGTATCTCCCCCTTGTATCTCCATTGGGTTGCCTTCTGACTCCTCTCCCTTCATCCAAATCCTTCCAAGCCTTGCTCAATCCCTATGCCCTCATTCTATACCTCCTACGATCCTACCTCAAAGTGCAAAACAGCCCAGTCTTCACTTGCACACGGTGATGCACCACTCTGGTGTCCTCTGGGTAGACAGCTCCCTGAACGCACCAGCTGCAGCCGTCTGAAACCTCTTTACTTTTCTCAGTGCTCAAGCTAGACCTTTCTCCTTGTGGACGCCATTGTCATCCAAGGGTGAAGCAGTAGCAAACATATTGTTAGTATCGCTTCAAAGTCTTTCGTTCCAGAAGCCTGACCTCTCTTTGGTCCCTCCATCCGGCAGGCTGCAGTGGGCCAGGCCTCTAGCTTTGTCAAGAAGCACGAGGTTGGATACAGCACCATCCATTACCATCGCTCTTTGAATGTCAATGGCAGCTTTGAAATAGATCTTAGTGTCATTTCAAAAGAAGAAGCCCCAGTCAGCTCACCCACCTTCAACAAAGTTGTACTTGTTAACCTCGAGTTGAAAACGAATACTTTATTTCTGAAGGGCTCCCCGTTAACCTCCAAGCATTGACATGACAAGGGAGCAGGTTGACAGAAATGACGGTCAACCCTTCCATATCCGTGTGGTCACGAGGCGATAAGGAGTCCCGGTGGGCACAACGGTGAAGTGTTCAGCTGCTAACTAAAAGACTGATGCTTCAACACCCTCCCCCCCCCCCCCCCCCCCCCCGCCAGCAGCGCGAGGGAGAAAGACCTGGCAACCTGTTCCCATAAAGACTCTGAACCAACCAACCAATTGCTCTTGGGTCAATTCCAACTCATAGCAGCCTTCAAGGACAGCGGAGAACTGCCCCGGGCGACTGTTTGAGTTATTAGCAGTTGTGTCCTTTCACCACTATGCCACCAGGGCTCCGTCCTCTAAGGGTCAGCGCCTAGGCATATGCCCCTGTGGATCAGTCCTCTGTCCCATGGGGTCTCTATACGTTGAAGCTTGACTTCAAGGCACCTAGCAACACCAGCAGCAACGAGGCTATACGACAAGCATGTCGTTAATCATAGGGACCCTGGAGCCGGGACAACTGACTTCATTGCTAATGCGTATCGTCTCTTGGTCAGCTCGGGTAATGGTTCTGAGTTCTGTGTGTTTGTTCGCAGATGTATCATGATGCTGAAGCGGACAGAGTCATCATTAAACTAAACTCCTGTCCAAGTCTAAATGATGATGTGAAAATAAGATTTCTTTCTTCTTCAGTAAGTAATTTCTGCCTTGTTTTCTGTCTAGTCTTTCGCAGCACTTGAGTCTGGAACGTTCTTGACTACGATTCCCAACAGGGGGGGAGCATAAGAGAGAGCTGACCTTTAACCAGAGGGGGAGAGTAGAGCAGTAAGGTTTATCCAAGTCAACCAACCAACCCACCAACCAAGAAAACATTCATTTTAATTTTCAAATGTCTGTGTGTTCTAAGTTCTGCACAATGTACAGGAGCCCTGGTGGCACAGTGGTCAAGAGATCAGCTGTGAACCCAAAGGTCAGCCATTCAAGCCCGTCAGCCAATCCTGGGGGGAAAGATGAGCCAGGCCTCTTCTGCAAAGGTTTACAGCCTCGAAAACCCCGTGTGACAGTTCTAGTCCACCCTCTTGGGTCATTATGAGTCAGGATCAACTTGATGGCAACGGATTTGGTTTGATACAATTTCCATGTGGAATAATAAGGAGCCCTGGTGGCCCAGTGGTTAAGTGCTCAGCTGTTAACCCAAAGGACAGCTTTTAACCCCACCAGCTGCTCCCTGAAAAGAGGCGCAGCACTCTGCTTGCGTTAAAGCCAGCCTATAAGGTGGCTATGAATCGGTTTGGTTTTGTCTTAATTATTATGAGAGAAGTTTCAAAACCCAGATGCTAAGAAAGAACAGGCATATGTTTTAGTGCATGACAGTGGTCGTTTATTTGTATTGTGGCTTCAAAACACATTGTTCCTCATCACTGATAAAATAAGTTCAAAGGAGGGAGCGTCTCCTTTCCTCTGAATTGATTATAGGTACCAAATTGTACTTATCCTTTATTCCTGAGCTGATGAAAAAGGGGAATATTTCCCATTGCCTTTGGAAGATACAAGGGGGCTTGAGAAAGGGTGTGTGGTAGTTCCATTCTCTTTTAATCACGTTTTGTCGCCAACTCTTTCGAGCCTCCTTGCACACTGCAGTTGATATCTTATGAGGGTATCGCGGTATCGATTTGTCCTGGCCAGGCATATTAAATGCACGCCTGCATATTAGTCTGTGTAGACCGCGCTTCTAAGCCCCAATGGTTTCATTGTCCCACCAACCATCAGCCACCACTGCCTGCATCACTGTGTAGGTCAATTTAAAAGCTTATTCCCTGTGGCCTCCTTCCTCCCTCGTTTGTTCCCTGTGGGGGAAGACTCTCATGGGTATAGAAGGGTGGATCCAAGTGACCTGGGTGGGTCCCCTCTTGGAAGTTTGGCCCTTAACTAAAGGAGCAATCTGAATCTCTCACAAACTCTTAGTGGAAACACGGGGGCAAAGAACACACCCCCGGGCACCTTTCACGGTTGCCAAGAACTGTGAGGGAAAGAAAGCATTGTGAAATTGTCTAGGTAGATCCTCGTCACCAATCGTGGCTAATCCGTCAGTGTATCTGCTGCAGCAAGAACAGGAGGATGCCCCTGTAGCCGGGGGCACCGGTCGGCTAGGTATTTGGTGGGTGTTGTTGAGCACTGTCTGAATCTGAATCCCTTTAAAAGTCCAGGCGCCTCTGCTCCGAAATACCTCTCACAAATCAATGTCCCTGGTAGTTTTGATACAAACAACCAAAGAACAGCACACCCTTCCTGCTTTTTATTCTGTGTGTATGTGCTGCAAACGGTGCAGGGCTGCGTATTTAATGACACAAACATGAGCAGTGGGGCGCATTGGAATCACTTGGGTACGAATAGCTGTGGTATCATTTTATTACAAAAAATTCATAATCTTGATTTTCTTTTTTAACCATGTATTTTTAGGATCTTCCTAGGTACTACGATAACTGCCCGTTTTTCTTCTGGTTCCACACACGGTTTATAGAAAATCACAGGTATGGCTTTGATAGAACTCAACAGACATCTTCATCTTCAGCAGACATGGGTGTCAGACAAGCCTTTTACAGATGGCCATAAATCCCATTTCTGGAAACGCCCCCCCCTCCCCCAACGCCTCAAGTCACCATTTTCCATGGCCGCACCCATCTTAATCCTCCAGTTATTTTGAAATATAACTATACTGGAGCCCCATTGAGAAGCCCTGTGGGTACAGAGGGTGAGGCACTGCTGCTGGGAGGGAGAAAGGCCAGGCTTTCTGCTGTGGTCAAGGTGGACAGCCTCGCTCACCCTAAGGAGCACTTCCCCTCCGCCCGAGAGAGTGACTGCGAGTTGAAATCGAGTCTGCAGCAGCGGGCTGTGGGTCTGGAGTGGGCCATGGGTCTGCAACCCCCACTTTCGTCTCATCCTCACGAACCATAGTAGAAATTAAAAAGTATAGCAATCAGGTCTGGAGGGTAGTAAAGCCTGCCTCCCCTAGGAGGTGAAGCTGAGGCAGCTCAGTGACCCCCCCACCCAGCAGGCCCCCAGGGAGCGAGGGGAAGGGACAGCTGGGACACAGACAAGAGGCTGAGACGGTAACAAGCAAGTCGTTTTATTATTATCATTATGATTAATCTTCAAGTTCTAACTAGGGTGTCCCAACAGCATGTCTTTACTGTTAGCCTCAAGATAAAATATAATTTTGTTCTCTATTCTTAGGCTTTATCTTCCAAGAAATGAACTGGACAACCTCCATAAGCGCAAAACGTGGAAAATTTACCGACCAGAGTTTGCGGTAGAAATATTTTTTGGATGAGATGTACCCTACAGTTCTATTGTAGCTGGTACCTCATTTTTAACTATAGATGTCATTTTAGCAATCATGTTCTCCCCTACCCTGTGGATGCTTTGATCTTTGAAGTATATATGTAAAATGCTTATTAAATTCTATTAAAGATACACATCTGAGGATTTTTTTTTCTGTTTTCTCTTTTGAAATAAAAAAAAAAACCAGCCCCATCAAGCTTCCGTCTTGCGATTCAGATGAAATTGAAACATGGGAGCCTTAAGGTCATTTTCAAGAATTTTGAAATGATGAAACTTCCATATGAAAATAGTTGTGATCATTACAAAGTGTGGTCCTATCCGCCCAAGGAATGGGGATTGAATGTAGTTATGGGTTTGGACAAGTATTTATTATGAATTTCTTTCTTCACATATGTAATTTCTCTTTCCTCCCTACCTGATTTATAAGCCACTAACCAACATCCAATTGGCAAGGACAACTAAGTTTTAAACCCAGAGGGGAGAGAGGACACCAGGTAGATTGCTTACACAGCCATCTTCCTTTAATCACATATATGTGCGCACGTATATCCCCGGGGAGAATCAAGCATAAAGGGAAAGAATCTTCAGTTAACGTCTGCTTCTGTGTATCATTCTAAAGGAAGTTAAAAGAAACATTTTCTCTGAGAATAATCTAGATATTACTCTGAAACCTACCAACTCTACCCAGAGTAAAATGAACTGCACATGACCCAGGTTCAGGAAACTCTATGTGTTAGTCTGGGTTGACTAGACAAACAAATTCAGAGACACCCGTGTATAAAAAAGAGCTTTCTATATAAAAGCAATTAAATATTGGGAAAACATCCAAGCCCACTCCAGATCAAGTCCCTAAGTCCAATATTAGCGCATATGTCCAATGCAATCTATAAATTTCTCTTCAAACTCACAAAACACATGCAATGGCGCCAAATACAGGAAAATCACAGGCCAGTTGGTGGAAAGTCTTGTGGATCCAGTGGTGGTTGAAGCATCTCAGCACTGGGGTGGGTCTCCACATGGCTCTTCCAGCTCCAGGCTCTGGCTGCATCAGTGTAGCTCCATCAGTGTAGGCTCTTCGTTAGTAATGTCTCTCAGGGAGTGAGCACGTGTCCCTTCTCCAGTGAGCTATTTATCTCAACACCTCCTAATGAGGTCATCAAGCTGCGACCTGATTGACAGGCTAAACTCCACCCCTTCACTCTTAAGTCTCATACTGACAACCGATCATGTAACTACCAGAGTCTATAAAGCTGGCTATTGTTTTTATTGTAAATATCGGTCAATCTTATGTCCATTGTGACTGCTATGGAACTGACGACCCTGTGTGTGTGTGTGCCATGGTCGAATGATGCTCCATGGGTTTTCCCATGGCTGCAATCTTTCCAAAACAGACGACCAGGCCTTTCTTCTGCTAAAGCATTTTTGCCTGGATTCTCCAACCTTTTGGGAAGCAGCTGAGTGTGTTAACTGTTGACACTACCCGGGGATGTCCTTGGTTTTTGTTGTTAGGCAGCATGGAGTAAATGCTGACTGAAAGCAATCCGATGTCTAATAAAACAAAACACTGGTGGTCCCGCACCTCCCTGACAGTTGTGTTTGAGTCCATTGTTGCAGCCCTCACTCTATCTATTTATTCACGTCCTGGCGCGTCTTCCTCTTCCGTTGACCTACTTACCAAGCATGATGTCCTTCTCCAGGGACCCTTGCCTCTTGATAAGATGCCCAGCATGCTTGCAATTTGGCAGTACTTCTTCCAAGCCAGGTTTGTTGTTGTTCTGACAAGCCATGGTTCTTTCAGCATGTTTCACCAATGCCATAATTCAAAGGCACCGGTTCTTCCCGATTCATTGTCCAACTTTCACATGCATTTGAGGCGACTGAAAATACCACGGTTTGGGTCAGGAGCACCTTAGCACGCACAGCTGTATCTCTTTGTTCGCTAATACTTTAAATAGGCCACATGCCGAAGATCTTCTAATGTCTTGTGTTGCTTCATTTCGTGACCACTGCATCCATGAGCATTGACCTGTGCATCTAGGTAAAACGAAATTCTTGACAACTTCACTCTTTTCTCCATTTATCCGGATGTTGTCTGCTGGTCCACTTGTGAGGAGGATCTGAGTTCCCTGTACACTCAGGCATGCTGAGGATGGCAGTCTTTGATCTTCTAGGCCTCATCCCGTCCAACAAGCCGGTTTGCATCATCTGCACATCTCAGGTGGTTATGAATGGTCCTCTAATCCTGATATTCTTCTTCACGGAGTCCTGTTCAGCATACAGATTGAATAAGTATGGTGACAAGATACACCTTTCCTGATTTTAAACCATTCCATATCCCCTTCATCCATTTAAATGACTTTATCTTGGTTTACATTACAGGTTTCACATGAGCACAATGAAGGGTTTTAGAACTCACATTCTTCGCCGTGTTATCCGTAGTGAGTGGGGATCCAGGCAGTCGGATGCCTTTGCATAGTCAAGAAGACACACACAAACACCCTCTGCGTTTAGCCGGGACCCGACTGCCATCAGCAATGATAGCCTTCAGATCCACATCCTCTTCTGAGTCCACCTGGAATGTCTAGCAGTTTCCTGTTTGTAGACTGCTGCAGCTGCTTTTCAAGTCAGCAAAATTCTACTTGAACATGATATTAATGGCCTTATTTGATCATTTCTTCATTCCATTGAGTCATCTTTGGAAGGGGCACAAATATGGATCTCTCCAGTCCGTTGGCCAGGTACTTGTCTCCCAAATTTCTTGGCTTAGATGAGTGAGCACTTCGAGTATCATGTGGGCTTGTTGTATATTGGTATTCCATCCTTTCCTGGGGACTTGTTTTTCTCCAATGCCTTCAGTGCACCTTGAACTTCAATCCTATTGCTTCTTCTTTATATACCACCTCTCAAAATGGTTGAACATCCCTATGGGTACGGAGACTGAGTTTTCCTTCTACCTTCTTTGGATGTTTCCTGATTATTAAATATTTCCCCCATAGAATCATTCAATATTGCAACTTGAGGCTTACATTTTCCCCCCTTGAGTTCTTTTGGCTTGAAAACTTCTGAGTGATTTTCTAGCTGCACATTTCATTTTAACACTACACTATTGAGACAGTCTCTCAATTCAGGTGGGAGATGCTCATGGTTGTATTTTGACTCACTTGGACTTGTTTTGATTTTCTTTAAATCATTTTATTGGGGACTCGTACAATTCTTATCACAATCCATACATCCATTCATGTGTCAAGCATATTTGTACATTTGTTGC